CCCTTAAAGTATCCGCGGCGGTCCTTAAAGTTACAGTGCCGCCCCTTACAATGGGGTGGGTGGCGTCCTCAAAATAAAAGTGATGTTGCCCCCCCCCCCCCCGAGTAATGTTGCGTCTCTTCTAAGTATCGGAGGCGCTCCTCATTGTCATTTTGCCCCACATTACTGCGCACATGGCGCCCTTCAATGTAATGGTGCCACCCCCAAGGCTCAAAGAGATAACTGCGCTTCTCACAGTGTCGGTGGTGCCCCTCAAAGTGGTTTAAGTGCCCTAAAAAGTTGGTGGCGCGCCTCAAAATGATGCTGTCGTCCCTTAGCATATCTGCAGCGCCTCCAAAATGATAGTGCCTTCCCTTAACCGGCGCCGGGCTGAGGTTTGAACCCCCCTCCCGACCCCTATAACTTGGCTACTAGGCCACGTAGCAACACGCGGTAAGCGGCATTCGAAAGAGTGTCAAAAACTACTTGGGTCAGTTGGTTTACCGTACTTTGGTTAGGTCAAGTCAAATGTCAAATATCAGGTGACCAGAGGTCATCAAAGGTGAAATGTGGGTGAAATGTTGTCTGTTTCAACATTTATTGACAAACTGGCGCATAACTCGGGGAAGAATAGAACTACAGCACCGCGAAAAAGCGCATTCGATTGCTCTTCAACGTTCCTATAAAGTCCTCAGACTTGACCTAACATCAACGGCTTAACCTCCAGAGCACAACTAGTTTAACCCGTGCCGGGCTGGGGAGGGTTGGAGTGGACAGTGGACCCCCTCCGCCCCTCTACTGAGCTGTTTTAACCCTATTAGTGGCAGGCTCCTGGCTACCCCTATTAGTGGCAGGGGGAGGCTGTTTACGACCCCCCTTGATATCTCGAGATCTAACGGGCCGATTTTCAAAATTCAAACGGCATTCGATTTCGCTCAACGTGATCTACATTTCTAAAAAATGAAAATTAAAAAATGTCAATAGGGGGGGGGGGGGTAGAGGAGGGTAAAAACGGGCAAATTGCAGATACATTTTAGACTGTTTATCACGGCCAGGTTTCTGAACCAATCTTAACGCAACTTTTGCCGATCGATAGAGAATGAACCAGGAATTCACATGGATCCTAAAAATATGCATGTTCAAAAATCATAGGCGGATACAGATCATTGAGATTGGGGGTACTCAAAAAGTATAGTAAATAAGGTTTTTGTTGGTACTGTTTCTGAAAAGGGTGGTAACGGTCTTGTTATGTTACAATTTTCTTATGAGAGAACGACTACAATTGTATTGGTCATGCATAGGCGGTGTCAGGGCACCTATGTTGGGAGGTAAAACATAAATTAAATTAAAGGATTAAAACATAATCCTTTTTGGACGCCTGGATCCGCCTATTATAGCAAAAACGTGTCAAAAGAGGATGCACAATAACTGTATATGTTATCACATGATACCTTTCATTCACTGTTCGTAAAACTGGTGCAGCATCGTGATCTTCGCCCAAATGACTCGCTTCACGAATAGGACCCCCCAATTCCCAGTGCTCTGGAGCCGCCCCTGGTAAAGTTATGAACTTGAAATTTTCAGGGAATGTGCCCAATTTAGTTTTAGGAAAAGTCAGAAAATTTCAGCATCGTAGCTTCAGCGGTTTCGGAGATATTCCCGAAAAAGCTGAGGGGTGGATAAAAACAACCCCCCTGCCACTAATAGGGTTAATGAAGAACCTTTTTACGGTAATAATTATTGACTCACGAAAGTTATGACATTGTTTTTTCAGTACTGTGCTCCTCTCGTCGAGATGCGTCGAATGAACTATAATTTGACATTCAAATGTCATTTGGGAAATTTGAGCTCAGGTCCAGGTCATGACCTGACTGGTAAAGGTCACGTTGCATATCAGTCGATTTGTATCGTCAAACTGAAATCATCTAAGGTGTTTTCATCGCTCAGGCATGTCGCATGTCTCTATCAGAAGTTATTGAAAAAACTGCTGGAGGCCTTCCATGACCTGACATGAACTCAAGGACATAACGAGGGGTCGTGGGTGGCAATTTTCCGATTAAGTGTTTCATTTTTAATTGTTTTATGATGTTTAAATTCGTTAACTTTGACATTTGTCTACCTATAAAAAGAGGCATGCATGCCCTGATTTTCTCCCATTTCCTTATACCTAATGGAAGGGTCGCAAAATTGTCCTTACCTTCGGTCAAAGACATAGCAATTTCGAGACTTACATTTTATATATATACAGTTACACACTGTTTGTCTTATCAATCGCTTAAGTTATAAAGGGATCGTTCAGTCGGTGTATCTATGGTGAGCATTTCCCTGTTCCGTAGCTCAGTTGGTAGAGCACCGGACTCCCCGCATTGTCTTCGCTTGCGTTTTGTCCGCCGGCCGATCCGGAGAGAAAGTTACCGAGTGAAGATCATTTAAATTTCAAAAATTCAATGAAAATGTCACTGGGGTCACGAAAATATTTGAGTAGGTAGGTATACCATTCATTAATTTGGGGGGGGGGATGAACGTATCGTTACAAATCAATACGCTGTTCATTACGCGAGTAACTAATGAATAAAAAATGTATGACTTCATCCTTACTCCACCCGCTCTCCCTCTCCATAAAAAGAGAGTGAATTGTGTTGCATTTTATTAAGATGCAGAAAAATAGAGGCGTCAAAGGATATGGCCGAATATCAGCGACCCTTGCCGTGTAAGCAATGGGGCTTGCAATGGGGTATGACAAGTGGGGGTAATGGCCCCGTCCAGCGCCCATAAAGTGGGCACCACTCGTGCGACCTGCCGACCACTGTTCTAGAGCCATAAAACACCGTGAATGTTTTAAGCTTGACGATACGGATCGACTGGTATGCAACATGTTTTATTTATGGTGAGGTCATGAACTTGACCTCAGGTAAAATTTTTAAATTATTTTTTGTAAAGTCAAATTATAGTTCATTTGTCGCATTATGACACGAGAAATACTAGTTATATCCCGGAAAAATAGACGTAATACCGCTGAGCTTAGGTAGGTTGAATCTGAAATCATTACTTAGAAAGAGTTATAAAAGAACCGTCGAACGTGTCTTTTTTGTCATTAAATATCAGTAGGTATGGCGCCCCCCTCAGATGCCAAGTGCCGCCCCTATGAGTGCAAAATGCCGCCCCTAAATGTGATTGCCGACCCAGTGAAAATCCCTTAAAATACGCCCTGCAAGCGGCGTAAACGTTATTGTCTATAATCGTCCGGCGTATCCCCTTATCCTACGCCGATAGTAAGGCAGTCTCATGTCTTCTCACTTCAATTTGCGTACCGTCCTTCTGCTGAAAAGGCCGAGCTGCCCATTGGCAGCCCAGTTCATTGGCATTGTTGGGACAGTCACCGTTATTTGTAACGCATGACAAATAACCTTAATCATTTTATCAAAGGACCGCAGACTTTAACGATTCAATCTTGCCGGTCCACTCATTTAGACTGGCCCATCGCTGGCACTACATAGAAAATGACAAACGACTTCCACGACAAAGCCTGGAGCGACGGACATTGGACATGCATGCCCTTACATATTGGCTGCAAGCCTGGTCTGCGAGCGCGGACCCTCACTAGGATGAGTTTCCAATGCTAATTACTCGCCTACGGTCACCGCTGAGGCAAACCGCGGCAAATTGCAGCCGAACCGTGAGGAATCGCACAAAATCCCTGACCGGTTCACCTCCGTGCGCTGTTACGGCAATTCGCGCAAATCGATTAGATGTTAACGGTCGCTGCATGTCGGTTCTGCGTCTTCCGTGGCCAGGAAGGTTTAGTTCCCGAGTGCAGCTCTCAATAACATCAATATGACCGGCATATCATCTCTCCTTTTGTAAGCCACCGAACGACCAATTGATTCGGCAGTTCCCAAACGAGTGACTGCAGCTCCTCGGCAAGAGCGAATGACTCTTTTTTTCCGAAATAAAAGACGAACTGTTTTTTATCATAACACATTTGAAGTTTGACAATAAAACTGAAGTTAGGTAATGAAGTCACTGAAGTCTAGCAACTAAAGTTATGTAGATCGTATAACACCTATGCTTATGGCTATGAGCATAAGTGTAAGCAGATTCTACCTAGTCGTAACAAACTTTGCTTTAGCCAGGAAGTGCCTATGTTTCTGGTGCACAGCACAGTTTCAACACAAAACCGTAGTGCATGCTGCACAGCACCCTTTGACCCGCGGGTCATGGGGTGCAAACGCATTAGTGCACGCCTCATTTACGTGATAGGTACTGAAACGACGAAACCAAGGGCACCAAGCAGATGAAGAGGGGGTCGGTGTATACTCTCATCTCATATAGCTTCCTAGATACCATGGTTTTACTATATCGAAACAGCTCATAGCGAAACAGATAAAAGGTGCCCTGGGCGGATGAATAGCTGGCGTGTGGAGGTGACGCACCTCGCAGGCCCGTCTAATGACCGCTCAGCGCTAACAGATCCGCGTTACATAACCCCATATTGCCGTTTACATGCAAGCCGTGCCAGTTTATATGCCCACGGCAACCATCGTTACGATACGCCATGCTATCATGGACCGCAGCATAATCTGGTTTCAGGTAGATACCACTCGAGGTCACCTGTCCGAGTATAACATCGTAAAGCTTGAGTGAGGCAGCTATCAGCAGGCGAAGCACCCATGAGTGTAGCTGTTGAGTTCACATACCTACTACGTCGTGCTTCTTTTGCAGCATCCGGACATAAATTTCCACTGGCGTTAAGGTCGTGATGCCAGTGCATCCAGCCCATGTTGGTATGTCTTGACGGATGTTGGGTTGCTATGTCGACTCAGGTAAACCAAAGAATGCGTATGCTAAGATTTGGCACCCCAATCACGTGGCCGTCAGTCCATGGCACATGAAGTTCAGCGTTATTGGACATTGTGACCACATGTGATCCGGCGGTGCGACCACTCGGTCGTCACCATAGCCCCCTTTTCGCGCTGACAGCACCGTTCTCTGTCGTTGCAGGCGCTCGCCGGATCCGAGCAATGATCATCTCCGCCGGGCCGCTGTCGATGGAAGTGGCCGACGCGCCTCCGTCCGACGGCGAGATGCCCAAGACGCCGGCGCCGGCGCCCGTGCCGCTGTCGGCGGCCCCGTCGTCAGCCGGGCGCCGCGCCGCCGGCCGGCCCGCTCCGCGCCGAGACGCGGATGGCTCGGCGCCCGGGGCCAACCCGCACGGCGGCTACCACTGCTCCTACTGTGGCAAGTACTTCAGCAGCCGCAGCAACATGGTCGTCCACGAGCGCACGCACACCCACGAGCGGCCGTACACATGCAGCTACTGCGGGCGCACGTTCTCGCAGCACGGCCAGATGGTCATCCATGTTCGATCGCACACCGGACAGAGGCCCTTCAAGTGCAGCCACTGCGACAAGGCGTTCACCTCCAGCAAGGTGCTCAAAATCCACGTGAGGACACACACCGGAGAGAAGCCCTATGCGTGTGAACATTGCGACAAGCGCTTCGCCGCCTACGCCAACCTGGTCGTCCACCGGCGCATCCACACCAAGGCGCGGCCCTACAACTGCCGCCACTGTAAGCGGACCTTCGAGCACAGCGGCAACCTGCAGCGACACGTCCGCGCACACGGCATCGCCAACGGAGACGAGGTGGGTGACGACCCGTGCGGGGCCGAGGCCGAGCAGTGTCGGGCGACTGCAGCCGTGGAGGCGGCGGCGGCGGCGGCGGCGACCGCGGCCGGTCTGCGCTGCCGCCTCTGCCAGGCGGCCTACAGCGGGCCGGCCAGTCTGCTGGAGCACCGGTGTCCGAGACTGGTGCGCAGGCCGCGCAGGGGCGCTGCACAAGACACGGCCGATGCGCAGCCGCTCAGCTTCACCGAGCTGTTCGAGTACATCGGTCAGCTGCGGCGCCAGGCGACTGAGGATCCGGCCGCCGTGCCGGCACCCGAGCCGCCCCTGGGTAACCCGCCGGCGACGCCGTGGCAGCCACATCAGCAGCAGGTGCCGAACCAGCAGCCCGTCGAGACGAGGGATCCTGACGAGCAGCTGCAGCTTCCCCAGATCCCGCCCGAGCCCAGTCACGAGAATGGTTTGGAGCTACCGGTGGCCGCGGCTGAGCTTCAGTCGCTTCAGCCGCTGGAACCAAGTCCCGAGGCGCCTGCTTCACCTCCGAATGCACAGCAGGAACAGGAACAAGAGGAAGAGCAGTACAGACTGCACGTTCTGCAGCCCAGACCGCGCCTGACAGAACTTCAGCCAATCAGCATTCGACGCGACCAGGCGACATCGCAAGACGAACTCCAAAAGCAGCCAGAACTACAAAAAGATCAACAGAGTGAAGAATTGCGGGATCAGTCTCGTCAGAGTCTTCCGAATGGTGAGCCTTTACCTCAGCAGCGTCCGCTGGCAGACACTCGGCCATCACTGCCATCCTCTGAGGACCAGAGGCACCTCCACATGCAGTACTACCATCACCAACATTATCTTCAGCACATTCACCAGCACCATCATCATCAGCAGCAGCTGCTAGTACCGGAGCAGCACTACCAGCCTCCGATTCCGCCCCTTCCACCCGGGCCCAGCTTCCAGCCGCCAGCCGACCGGCGCGAAGGCTTTCTGCCTCCCGCGTTGAACCGCACTCCGACTGCAGTTCCATCGCCGACATCCCCGCCGGTCAGCGCGCAGGGCGTCCACCGCCAGTCGCCAGGCGCGGCTCCGCAGTCTGCTCCCGCCGCCACGTCTCCACTAGCTTCGTCTCCCGCGACCGCATCTCCGGAGCGGACCGCGACTTCGGTAGGCACGTCACCGCCGCCGCCACCTGCGACATCGGCTCCGCTACAGCGCTCCTTCTCCACACAGACAGAGCCACTCCGACCACCGTCCGAAAGTCGTGTCTCCTCAGACGAAGCGATGTCGACGGAGTTGCGGATTTCGTCCGGGAGCAGCTCTCCACCGCAGCGACGACCTTCCTCTCAGGGACGCCCTCTGTCCAACGAGGGGCGCCCTGCATCCAGACCACGACCTCCCTCCACATCTGAGGGATGCCCCTCATCCGGAGGACGCTCCCCATCTGAAAGGCGCCCGTCAGGGGGCCGAAATCAAATTTGGGAGGACCTACTGGCGGCTCGGTCTCCACCCAGTGATCGCACCGTTCACCACCATCGTCCCTCCGTGTCAGTGCACGCTGCGGCCCATCAGCGTCCTAGCTCCTCCCTGAGTCGACCCTCTTCCGGAGAGGACTCCTCATCCACGGACCGTTCCCAGACCACGGCCGACACACCGCGCTCGACCCCTAACTCTACCGTCATCTCGAGCGCTTTTCTGGCGGCTCGCGACCGTCTCCGCTCCGCCGTCCACCGTCAGCCTCCCGCAGATCTTCCAGCGGCTGGCGGCGTCCTCCAGCAGCAGAGAGCAGCCCTCCTTCAGAGCGCCGCTGCCTACCCGACCTCACTCGCCGGCTTGTCGCCGCAGCAGCAGCAGCGGTACGCGGCGCACGCGGCGGGACTGGGAGTCCCGCCATACTACCCCGACTCGGTGAGGAACGGAGCCCTCATGGCGTACGGCCACGGCATCCCGCAGAGAATGGTGAACGGTTTCTTCGCGGCGCTGTATCAGGGCGGAGCGGCGCCCGACGCCCGAGTCGCGCAGGATGACGAGCTGGTCATCACCGTGAAGCCGGCGAGGTCGGAAGCAGCCAGCGCCTTGAAGTCGGCCGTCTCCCCGGCGGGACGCGGCAGGGAGGCCGGGGCGGCCGCCGTGGAGGCACCGGACGTAACCATCACTCGAGAGACCCAGCCGCCGCCGCCGGCGCCGCACAAGTCGCCCTCACGCGCCGCTGTTCCTCGCGGACGGTCGCGCGCCCCGACGGCGGCAGGTGCGGATGTTCCGGTCTCTGCTGTGCGCCGGCCTCTTTCCGTTACCGCTCCGCAGGCCTCCGCCGCCGCCCCGCCGCCGCAGGTGCTCAGCCCGCCGGCCAAGCGGCGCCGCGCGTGTCCGGGGCTCGTGCCGCTGAGCGTCGCCCCGCCGACGGCGCCGACGGGCGAGGGTCGGAGGGTGTCAGTCGGTGCGCCGCCGTCGGCCGGGCAGTGGCCGCCAGTCTGGGGCGCCGCACAGGGCCGGAGGGCTCCCGGCGCGAGGTGAGCCCGCAGCGTCACCCGCCACGGAGAGCCCTGTGTTATCGGCGCATGGAACGTGGGACTCGGTGCCGTCTGTTGTGTGTTATGCAGTCGTTCGACCGCGCGGTGATATAGATTGACGGTAGGTGTGTAGTGTGATCTGGGGCGGTGTCTGAATAGTCTCTGGTTGTCGGGTGATGGACTTCATTGACAGAGCCATGGGTACCGGAGGCAATGGACCGGAGCACAGTCTGTGTACATAAGCTGGTCAGAAAGGGCGGTGTGTGGGTATGCCTCCTGAGTTCAACAGGAAAATTTATGACCCGTATGCAAGTCACGTCGAAACATTCGCTACGGTAGTGTCGATTTCTGATTATGCCTTCAATAGGTGTACTGTCGTTGGTGCTATCAAAATTAATAATTTTAACAAAATCGCCATTTTTCACGGAAATACGCGATTTTGGTGGGCATTTTGAACATGTGGCATAACCTATACATGTGGCAAGTTTGTCACATCCACTTTTATATATTGCGATACGTGTAATGCCCTAAAGAACGTTAGCGCTTCGTAGTTGATTTGCGATGATTTTTATTTGATTTTAACGCATGAATTGTTCTTGTAGTAGGTATTGAGTTAGTGAAAACGTGATGCGCTCACTTTTGTGATGTTAGGACGTTTGTTGTTCTTAAGTTAATGGATAGATCACCGCTTGCTTATGCCTATCATGGAACTTTGAGGAGCACTTTATGCATATTTGAGCTATCTGCACGCAAGTGCGACAACATGCTGCCAAAACGCCTGTAAAGCGCACGCCTGTTTTTGTTAGTGTAATATATTCCTCGAAGGTAATTGCTGGTTTGTTGGTTTTGAAGAATTCTTTCTTAGGACACGAGAGGTTTCGAATCGAGGAAAAGAATGGAGCAACATCAACATTTGACAGCGAAACGGAAAGCCTCATTCCACGGTTCGATACGAAATTGACTCGTATGCTTAAATGTTTTGATTTCTGAATTATATTCAATCTAATTTCACCAATGCCTCTCCACCTCGCCAGTCATCAGGTTACAGTTCCAAGTGTCTTTTCTGGGTCACTTAATATTTGTAAGTGATCTATAGCGGTACCTATTGCAGCCAATATAAGCGCACTTGATGGTTATGTAAGGCAAGCGGATGGGAAACGTCATTGACAACCGTTTCGTAAATGACGTTTTCCAACCTTCTGGCTTATGTAACCAACGTTGAACTGAACGTCGGTACCTAGCTGTACTTAAAATGATTACGAGCGAGCGAGCGCAGCGAGCGAAGCGAATTCTTTTCAATATAACGGAAAAATCTCAGTATGAGCGGCCCGGCCCGGCCCGGCCTGTAACGCTTTTGAGAGGCTTATATCTCAGCAACCGCTGGACCGATTGGCCTGCGGTCTTTTTTGCTGGGTAGCCCCATCCCTTCTACCCCGTAATTGACTACTTTTGATACATCTCAGTGACCGTCGTGGCACGTGCTACGTGAAAAGTCAAGGGTGTTCAAGCAGTTTTGCAAAAGTAATGATTTTGAGAGGCCCATATCTCAGCAGCGACTTGAGCGATTGTCTTGCGGTCATTTTTATAGGGTAGCTGACTCCCTTCTACCAAAGGTCGGATACTCTTCATCTATGTGAGTGACCCCCACTGCACGTGCAAAATACAACAATAAGAGGTGCCAAATTTGTTCCCATTTCAGTAACTCGGTAATTACTGGGGCGATTTCGCTGAAACTTGGCATACAGGTAGGCACCCACCAGGCAATGCATTCCCATGTGTTGCGGTTAGGGTGCTACTGCACGTGCGCACGTGCAGGGGGCGTTTCCAGATCTCGAGAACGGCTGGGCCGATTGCGCTCAACTTTGGTACACGGTTGGGGACCAGTTAGTAGGGTGCCGTGCAAAAGTCATTTTGGACCCCGTTTGCACGTGCGCACGTGCAGAATGCCGCTTCCAGATCTCAGGAACGGCTGGGCCGATTGCGTTCAAATTTGGTACACCGCTAGCGACCGGTTAGAAGGATGCTTTGCACAAGCCCGTTGGAAGTACCCTCTCGCCCTTCTGCACGTGCAGGGCCCACTATCTCGCTCGCTCGTTCTTCGCCCAAAAGGCGTTTTAATGGTTTGTAAAATGCCGTTAACAGAATTCGCTAAAAATCATGAAGATGGGTAAGTATTTGCAGGACTTGACCACAACCAAGTTAAAGGGACCCCCTTCTAAAAAGTTAATGAATTGGCATGAAAGTGATGTCGCTCGGTTCAGAAAGAGCGAAAACGAATATCTACCAAATTTCATCGAAAAATATTCACCGGTTTTCAAGATATTAGACTTTTACTTTTGTTTACTTTTGGGATCTCCGTTGTTCCTAGCGACTTTATTTGAAAGTGCGGCGCTTGTTGCGCGCAAAGCAGCATAGGTATACCTACCACCGCTTGCTACCAAACGTTTTAGTAAAATATTTAAAATCGTTAGATCTGCGCTGACGTCACACATTCAGAGCTTCCAGATAGGTATTCTAATGCACTGGCCCCTCTGAATCCAAGTGCTGCAACTTTGAAATAAGATATTTTCGATTTGAGGCATTTCTCGGTCTTGTGAGTGCTCAAACCGATAAGTGCAAGCCAGGGACCCCATTTTGACTATCTCAACTCAAAACTAATGTTAAGGTGGGATAGTCACTTTAACCCTGTTCCTGGCGGGGGGGCCTTTAAGGCCCCCCCTTCAGGTTTTTCTTGTGCCATTGCCAAACGCCGCAAGACTGAAAGCTCATGCTCGGTGACTTTTCTAAACATTCATTGCGCACATTTTGACAAAAAAAGTTGCCGGGTCAGGTCAGGTCAGGTCACCAGAGGCGGTTTGGTGACCCCACCTCAGAAAAGTTTGCAATCACGCCAGAGCTAGAGTTTTTGACCGATCAATTTCTTCTCTTCAGGCTTTAGTTAGTGTACCAGTATGTGCAATTTGTTTATCTCAGAATTTTCATATCTGTGACCTGAGGTCAGGCCAGACTCGTGACCTTTACATTGCAAGCCTATGGGAAAATACTGAAACACCTCCTGCTTCGTGTAAACGAGTCAAAACCATCCAATTATTTCAGTATTATGGAATATTATCTCATCGGTGATGATCCTGGTGCCGCTAATTGACAGGGGCACCGGCAAAGGTCATCTGAGGTCATGTGACGTCATAAATCGTTTTTCTGTCATTAAATCACGACATGATGGTGCTAAAGACTTGTAAGTGGTACCAAACTGCTCGCCTGGTTAAGGCGCGTCGTTTGGTATGCAGCATGACCATACCCCACATCCTCATTGATGAATGACCTGACCTTGACCTCAGGTCAAATTTCAAATTGACCTGTGAAGGTCATCACATACTTATTTCGCATCGCCTCGGCGAGAGCAACAAAAAATGTATTGGGTTTATGTCTCTATGTTTCTTAGTTTAAAAGTTATATAGGTAACTAATTTCAAAACATTTTATCGTTGATGACCTCTGGTGACCTCAATATTGACCTGACCTGAAAATGTTTTATGTAAAAGTTGTAGATCTTTAAACGACCTATCAAACGCCGTTTGCCGTTTGTCGCTGCGATGTGTAGTTTTTGAGATCTGAAGGAGGGCTGAATCGGCCCCCCCCCGCCAGTTTCTTGTCCCGGCGGAGCCCGCCAGGAATAGGGTTAACCCTAGAAAGTTGACGCAAAAAAGCAAGCTTGACGCCAGAGTACATCACTCTGCCGTGCGGCCTCGATGGCACATTTCCCAATCAGTTTCGTGTGTCAACGCTCGGCCGTCCGACCGGACGTTCTTTGATCGTCTCCACAACCAGTTCGACATTGCGTAACGCGCTGCGTCTCCCAGCTGCAGCACAGGGACATACTGGCATATGACAGGAGTGTAGAACTGCGCCGCAACATATCCCCAAGTTCCATATCATATGCTCGGCCCACGCAGATGGTATCGAGCCGCCTAAGAGCTTCCGAGAGCGTCACACTGCACGCGGTTATGATATGGCCAATTCAAACACGCTATGCCACCACTGCGTACAAGTAGACATGAGATAACGAAGTCAACGCGTTGCACGGCTTCCCTGCCATGTTTGAGGAGGTTATTCTCTATGAACGTACAACTACTACAATTCGACGATGGCCAACAGTGGCTCCGGTTGTAGATTCACACCAGATTTCAATGCGACGTTATACTTCTGTCCGTGCAGTTGACAACAGCGATGGACGATTAACATATACCTATCAGGCGTGACACGTGAATGCACAACACTACTAGCAGGTACGGACTTAACACGAAACGTTGGTGTGTGAAGGCAGCCGTGGATGAGATGTTTGGGACGTTTGCCAGCCACACTAAAACGGCGCACGATGAGTAACTATAAATGTCCAAAGCTAGTGTCAGTGGGCCCGCACATACCCCGTCTGACAATGGCGAGCTTTGGGACACATAAAACCCTCATCCGCGGAGTTGTATTTCCCAACCAGCCTAATGGTATCAGCTCGCTCTGCGGAGCGCCGAGGGTAGGGCCGGCGCGGCTATTTTCGGCCGCGCGGTGACAGTCTGTCCCAGTAATCCACGCTGCAAGGTCGCCCGGACCCGACCCTGCAGCGGCCACAACCGGGAAATGTCACGGGACGAAAATAGCCCGGCGGTCGTGTCGTGCACGAGTCGGGTACTATAAATACACACACGGGGGGCCGGCTACGTACCGGTCTGTCCCCCCCTCCGCTCCTCCGTGGTCCGTGACTCGGTAGGGTGATCGGTCATGCGCCTATATCATTGCAAGACACTAACAACCGACGTCTATCCAGGTCACAAATTTCAGTTAACACTATGCAACGTGGAAGGGGGTCAATAAACAAGAAAGTGTCGCAGGACGTTTTTTTTTTTTTACTTTATATTACTTACATGACAGCTAACTATTGTGTTGACATTTAGTCTAGACTACTGGTTTTTTATTTTTATTTTTTTTATAAATTTAGCTTGAATGTTTGAATGGACGGATTGACAGAGCCAGAGCCTACGCTAAGCAGAGCTTGTTGCGTAGACCCCGACCCCTACCGTCCGATCGCGCAATTCCGGGGGTAACGGGAGAATTTAGATGCCAAAGTTTAACGTGCCCTTCAAAGCCGGACACGGCCTGTCCCACCCATCTGACTTCAACTGGCTGCGGCTGCTCCCACCAACTGCAGACCATCCCCGTCAGGAGTCTCAAATATCGAGCGCCGGAGCGTCTCGAACCCGGGCTCCCACTACCGGGAGTCCGATGCTCTACCAACTGAGCTACGGGGCATGCTACTGGTGAAAGAATAGCATGCAACCTTTGGTACCATGTTTCAATGTATACCCCCCCCCCCTCCATTTTAAATGCCTAACGCTAGTTCCGTTTATCGTTCCCGAAATGCATAATTGAAGTACGCAAAAATGATTATGCACGTATGTTTATCATGGCCACGGTTACCCAACAAAGCACAATACCGCCTTGTCCATACGTATTTAGCGCTCACGCATGCCCAAGCGAAGCGATCTTGATACTGGCTCGAGCCAAGCTCCTTGCAAGATTCCTATGCTCCTGGCAGCCATTCACTGGAACAGCTCTGCGTGCCGACCAGCCCACCCAGTCACCGGACAGCACGGCACAGCCGGCGAGCCGGGGCGTTCGTGAGTCGTGACCCGTCTCCCCGGTCTGCCGAGTACTGTCCGGTCTCTGTTACTATTCTCGGCCAAGGCCGCAGCTCAGACCGGTAGGCAAGACGCCGAAAATAGCGCCATTCACGGAAACGGGCTGCAACTGGTAAACACTACGCCATTGTAATTCGGGGTATACCTGGTACGGATCAGCTAAAACTGGAGCTGGTTTCGGGAAGGCATTGAGTTCATGGGGCTCCTTCGTCACGCGTGCAGCTAAGACAATCGTAATCCCGACAGCACGGCGGAACTGAATGCACTGGCGACTCCAGCCGGGGTTGCTGAAGTGGGAGACCGCCAAAGAGGCTAATTGACCTCTCTGTAGGCCAAACGGCTAGAAACTACGCCGAATGGTTTGGGCCACGTATTCCCTATCCCAGGGCTCTGTTGTGTACGAATTTCAAGCGAACCCGAGGCGCTCCGAATCTGGACTGAATCCGGGCTGTCTTGACGGATATAGAACTAAAAACTATGCTAAAAACACCAGTACGGCGGTTCAAATTTTAGTAAGTGGATAAGCACAATAGCGGAGGCGGAATTAACACTGTGAAGAGCCGTGCGCGAGTTAATGGCATGAAAATGAACCATTGAAAACGTGCGGCATTGCTGTTCAAACGGCACCTATGCCATGTTTTCAAGGAAGTAAATAGCGACCATGTCACTTGTCACAGTTTAGATATTGTCAATACGCGCATTTCAGATGCAGTAAACTGTTGACATACGGCAAACACCGTCTCCGAGCATGATTCAAATGAATAACTTCACGTATATTTAGACAAAATATGTGTGCAATCTGGAATTCGTGATCGCCAGAAGGATATGTAGCTATCCTTAAGTCCTTGGTTCTTTATAAGTACCTACTTTCATCATCCGTACAATGAAACGTGCTTAAAATAGCCCATTCAGGCAAACACGATAACAAAAATTAGCCCTTAAAATATGTCCACCGCAGCCGGATTTACATGACCTTTTGACGAGCTACGACCTATAAATAGATTTCAAATGCATTCTTTAATGCATTGCTCAAATGTATTTGAATGTACATTTACATGTAAGGTGTAAATGTACATTTTGAATGTACATTTACACCTACCAGTCTTTTAGGGAGAGGCGGGAGAATTGGGACGCAGGGGAATAGGGACACGCCAATATCTTAAAAAAGGACAGCATCCTTGCACGATTATTGCCTTTACCTTTTGATTCTATGTGTCATGCAACGATGGGAAGCCTCAGCAACCCTTTTGTGGGCGTCGTTTGGGCTGTGCTGGCTGAACACCAAAAAACTTGTTTTTTCGAGTGCTATTCTGAGTTGTCTGTGCATTGCATATGACAAACTATCTTTCTTTCAACATGTTACGATGTTAGATTAACACCGTCCTTATGCGATTGCTAGTTTGTATGAACACGCTCTGTAACTGATAAATGACAAAAAAATGCGTGATTTGTTATGGCGGTGTTGTGGGAGAATAGGGACACCAAATGGTAAAAACGGTTAAGTGGTACAAAAAGATGTGTTTTTACCTTCGTGTTTTGGAAGCGATTGCAGCTGCACCCTTAACCACAAATACATCAAAACGAAGACCAGAAAGTCTTACTCCGGTAGGAAAATGTGCATTTTATGGGAACATCGTAATCGTGAAAGACAATCCCGCGGCCTTTAACGAAACAGATAGTGTGAAGATAAGTTCCAATGTATCAAATGATTGCCTAAGACATAGACACGACAAATAATTCGAGATAAAGTCATCCCAATACCCAATTTTTATATGTCCCAATTCCGCTTCGTGTCTGTCCCTTGTCTCCTTGCATGTGTCCCTACTCCCTATTCTCCTGAAAATGAGTGTTTTTGTTTTTGTTCACATATAGCTACATCATTGCACAGGCTCGCTATTTTATGATGGCATAATGCAGAGAAATGGTGGACCTTTTATTGGTGCTGCACAAAGCACCTTGGCTACAATACTTGCCAAATAATACCTCAATGAACATGGCCTGAGAAATAAGTCCCAATTCTCCTGCCTCTCCCTACATATTTAAACAGCGGTGTTGATTATTATATGCATCACACAGGAAGAAGATAAGTCATAAAACAAAAAATACAACAAAGTGAACCACTAAACCGTTCGTCGGCTTATTAGGGTTACGATTTTATATTGTCTACATTTTTCTTGCGCACCATGCTTTCAATGTCCTATGCATTTATCACTGCTTTACATTTCAAAGCCATGGATGTAAATTAACTCTGCACACCGAACATATTAATCAAAGCCTACAAAAATAACTGATTTATCACCGACAAATACAACACACCATCAAATTGCGGCGAATGCAGCTGACGTCTTAATCAGCACACCAGTCGCCCTGCGCTGTTGAATCTACGTATGTACAGGTCTCGCGGGTATTAGCGGTAGGTTTTGCAGTGCACCTAGAAAATTTAGTGTACTTCAGGCTAGCCTATATCTTCGTCGTCTTAAGCTTTTAAGTGTTGAAGATGCGATCGACTTGTTGGTTCACAAGCCGGCCATGATCGTGTAAAATGGCTTCATCGTAGATCGATTAGTTTTTGAGATATAGCCGGAAATGTAAAAGTGCAAAACCTACCGCTTAATCTCGCGAGAGCCGCACATAACAATGTTGAAACGATGTACTTGAAATGAAACTTTGTTTGGAAAATTAAAAACTTCCCTACAGCGTATACAACTAACGGTGTTTCGAAGAAACACCATGAACAAACGCCATAGCTTTACATAGATTCGGTCAGATGACAGAAAGGACGGGCAGTACCTGATAAGTGATAGCTGTCCCTCGCGAAATCTACATACATTCCGACACAGCGCCCCCCCCCCCCTAATTGTTAAAAAATGTTGTTAGGCCAATTAATTAGTGTGCATGATAATCACAATGCTTTCAACCGGAAATTGAGTACTGTTTGCCTCAGAGAAAATGGCAAAATCCGAGATGACAAATACCTCCTTTTATGCTCGTCATGAAAAACAACGCTCAAATTTTGCATCACCTAGATTTTCGCAGGATTGCATGGCTAATCCTTTGCGGTTAACGTTCCAAATGATCACTCTGCGCAATTGGTGTGGTGTGGTTACAACACTACCATGGGCGGTGTGCTGTGGCGATAATACGAAAAAAACATCGCTGCTAATAATACTGTGCTCCATCCATACCTCCAAAAATATGTTAATGTCCCCCAGCCAGCAATCACATTAGAGTAACTCAAGATGTTCCTTTTCGCTTCAGCCAAGACGCACTAATGCACATCAAATTGTGTATTCACATCGCCAAAAGCCATTTCAAAGCCACCATCATTTGCGATGACCGCACAAAAGCCGGGACCGGACACGAGGCGTCACGGGATGGATTGGGTAGCGTACTACAGTGAAGAGGCAGTCACGCCGAAGGGGCGACTCACGGAGACAGACTCACTGACACGAACTCACAGCGATAAGCTCACGGAGATTAAATCACGGAATCGGCAAGACGCTGTGTATGTGTATATTGTGTACGCATGTGCAGATTGACTAGGTCAGACAATGCACTGACGAAACAGTATGCGACACAGCGCGCTAGCTCCAGAAAACTTCACAAAAACAAATCCGGCAGAGACCGATCGCGGCGGCGGGGAGGTCAAGGCGCGGGTCATTTCGACCGACGCATCGCCAACAATTCAAAACGCGATCAGCTCCACATCACTCAAAAGATACGCCGATACACTGACTGCGAGCTAAATTCAAACGTTAAAACGCTGACCCTTCTCGACCCCATCGGGCGTGCCAGGCATCGGTGGCTACTGATAATCTGACAAGCACCGCGATGGAGGCAATACCAAGCGATCGAACTCTTCTGCTTTCACAATGTTTCATTAACCAATAATGGAACGACAGCCTTTCCAGTTACACTCATGCGCACGTTTATTTTATGGCACGGCTTAACTTATGGCCTTAATGAGGTTTTAGTCGCCTTGTTCTTGCGACGTATTATTGAGACATCAAACATCCAGAGCAAAACACATTTTTAAGGACACCAAATAAGGATTTGCCAGTTTGGAGGCCAGCTTGACAATCCATCACAACGCAGGTCATTTGCAACGAACGGTGATACCAGATGCAACGCATCACGCATCACGAATGTTAATTAATTAATTTATGAAGTTAATTGGATGGCGATCTCATTGTTGAACATTATATAACAAACCTAGGGCAAACTGTCCCCGTAAATTGTAAACTGACACACATCCCTTTAGAATAAGCCCGCATTTTATAATGTCACGCAGCGAAACAGCCAACCGACCACTGACTCCTAAATGACTAGGCCCAAAGCGTTTTACATTGCGAGCTTATCAAAGTACCAAAATGATCTGCAGGTCAGCATATCACCTGACGGCAGACACCTTCATCAAACGGAAACGCATATGGAATGTTTGTCAAAGTGCAATGAATTTACCTCTTAATTTTAATGAGAACCACACAATATTTTAGACAAAACGGTACATACAGTCAATTACGACCAAAAGGTAGGTCCGTAATAAAATACTTTTTAATAATAGCGGAATTTAAAGTAAAAGAATATGCGAAACGCAGAATAGGTTGGCTTTTTCTGTGACCAATATCCAGCGCTACTATCTTACTACTAAAACTGGGAGAAACACTTTTCATCGGCATTCCACAAGTGCTAATCGACTAGTGGCATAACAAGGTTCGCCATTTTGATCTCCAGCACTATGTTACACACGATATGAAATAGCAGCTCTAAACGACGTGACAGAAGGACTAAACGAAGTTAAGAAGATACGATTATACACCCGTCCTTAGCATCATGTCAAACCACCTATGCTTACGAGATAGCCTTGTCAGTTTTTTTTTTTCGACAAGCAGCATGGATTAGAGCTCAAAATCCCAATTAATGAGAGACAGTCCATTAACAACAGAAGAGCCCAGAGCGAAATATCGACAGGCGGTTAGTACTCGCAGTTAATACCGATTCAGAATCGGAGCGACTCGGAGCTGGAAGCCGACATTATCAAGCAAAAGCACAGCTACGCAGAAGACGAAATGCCACAAAACACTGAACTGCACAGCTCTATCCGAAAACACCGTTTGATTTCATCATCAACTCAGAGAAGACGCTATGGCGGATAGCCTGCTAGCGGGCAGCCTCTAGGCGCATCACTAGCTATGGGGGCGGTAAGCACCTACTGCGCCGCTCCCCCGTACGGCCGGCGCGGCGCCGCGCGCCGTTCACCCGTCTCCCCTGGGCCGTCCCAGTGCCGCCCGGGCCGCTCACTCCTTCCTGGCGATGAGTCCGTTCTGCTCGGGCTGCATCAGCTCGTCCACCATGGCCGCCACCAGAGCGTCCAGCTGCCGCTTCACGGCGTCACGGTCCCTGAAACACGGCCAGACACGACCTCTGTCAGACAGGCGCACACTGGCCTGCTATGCAGCGACGACAGTAAACCTAAAATCAGGGATATACTTGATCATACCGCCAATGCCAAGAAAAGGCGATGAAAAGAAGGGAATGATGCGGGAAATGTCAACAAAATACATTTTATGTAAAGACCCAATTGCAGACCTGGTAGCTAGGAGGACGTGGTTTCATGCCTCAGTCTGGCAAAGGACCGGAACAAGACGTCGAGCACTGGGTTAACGACCTCAGGACGCAATAATTCATCATCACTCAAATATTATGCGGTTTCAGCCTGTGCGGCGTTACGCAACAGAGCACATGATTTTGACCGTGACCAGTGCTATAATACAGGTAAGCGGCTGGACATTGGCATGTCTAGATCGTACCGCGCACATTAATTCAGTTTATTTCGAATTCAATGATACACTCAGTACCAATAACATTACACCCACAAAAGACACTATTATCTCCACGCACGTGCCTACAATACCATACATCAGCGCATATTGCATGCTTGAATGCGCAGTCTAATCGGACAGTGCCCCAGGGCGTGAGTATAATTACACACAGTACGAAGCCCTCCATTAACACACCACGAAATCGGGGCAGGCATGCGCTCAAACCGCTGCGGGAAGGATTGCTGAGTCACGGGACCGATAGGAATCTGTCGAGTCACTTATAGTACAGCCAAAGCACGTAAGTACAATCAGGACGTCATGGAGTCAGCAGTGGATACAATCTAGGCGTCTTCCAGCGTCCGTTACGTCCAAATGGCTGTAAGTATGTTAGGTGTTGGACGTTGGTAGCGTTCGAATTCGAACGCAACTTTTAATAGGCAAACTTAGCTTTGTTGCGTTGCAAAAAGTCGTAGGTAGGCAAGACCGAAGACGAGTTGCGAAACCATCGTATGGTTCTGAGACTCGTACAGAAAAGCCCATTTTCCACAGCCGTGATCAATACAGCTGCGCCGCTGCCGTGTAGCGTGAATAAGTACACCACTTGGTTAGAGTTATGAGGCACCCAGTGCAGTAGCATCACGCACTAAAGTGCGTTGGAGTCGCCATCCCCACGCCTATCCATTAGCCACCAACGCATTAATAAGGCTGGGTTTGCGGACGCCCGGGCTGAGGTGGTTTCGGACCCATTGGCCGCCCTCCGACAGCGCTGCCATTTCACGCGTGTGTGACGCTCCCATGGGAGCACACAGAACAAGCGGCTGTGCAAATTACCACGACGGCGGGCGCCCCAACCGCTTCCCATCGTCATAAGGAAGGCGACGCGGTTCGTTCCCGTGGCAGCCAGAATAGGTGGCGACTGGCCGCGAGTGTCGCCCGTAACAGCCGCGCACAGCCTGCTCTGACTTACGACCTTACCACTGAATGCCAAACGAGAGACATTGCAGCACATTTCCCAGCGGTCACAGGAGAGTTCCCTCGGCCGTATTCTTTATTGCAGAATGGCAGCGGCTGGCAATTTCCGGAAGGCGAGCTCATGACCATCGAAGACCACTCTGTTGTTTACCCTCAACTAATAAGCTGGCTATAGCCTAAAGCCATCGTAAGACGCACACTTGTCCAGCATCAACAGACCATGAACAGCTTCCATGTTTGTTTATGTTGTGAACGCGCCGCAGTAACTGGCACTTGGCTGGAACTGAGTCAGGCCTTGAGCCGGTCAACGGCAGCGCAGCATTCATAACCACAATAAACGAACGCGAATGTCTACCGTGACGAGCATGTGTTGGTCACCTCTTCCAGATCAGAGGGCTTGAACTGTAGTGCAGCCCTCTATAGTGAACTGTAGTGCAGCCCTTGAACTGACAACTGTAGTGTACTCGTATAGTGCATATCATACTTGTGGCTAGAGTCTATTACTTATATCGTATTCAGAGATTTGCGGCCTTCTAAGCAAGGCATCAGAACTCCGCAAGCCCAGACACGCCAGCTCGCTGGGAAGGACTCACACTATTGCGCAGTCTCGGCGTGATTGTAAACATCAGCACTGTGTCACTCGACTGGACCTTGCAACAGGCATACCGCGCCGACCCTTCCATATTGATACACGTACGGCGCCGAATATAGCTCAGCTATGTTTAGCCGGCAGCACTGCCGGTGCCTAAATAACAGCCCTCCTAACAGCGTTGGTATTGAGCCATGACAGACAGCCTACCACGCATCAGACGGAATATAATTAGGGGAGACCGGGGATAGTTGGGCCAGTTTTTACTTTAAGCGTCATAACTTCGGTATAACTGAATTGTCCACCGAGCTGAGGTATGCGTGGATTCACATTTCAAGCATAAAAACATGCACTGCGCATGGAAAAAAAGAGGACCAAACGAAAAAAAAAATTCGAAGATAAAAGAAGGGTTGCATCCCCAGTAGACCTTGTTAGTTGTTACGAGTTGGCCAACCACTGCGGCAAGATCTGTATAAAACATATTTCTGCAGTTTATGCCAAATCCCCTTACGCAGCAATAGCAACAATGAACCAATGGCTGTCTCAATATTGAAATCCCGTACAAGACTCAAGATAAGTTACGACAACTTGACATCACTCGATATGCGTGGGGTTAAAAGAGATGAGACGCATTCGCTAACGGACATCTACCTTCCGCAAAACCCCAGGAAATCGGCAGCTTTGTCATTTGCACGCGATTAACAAAGGCAGCTAGTACCCAAAAGTCGTCGTTTTTTACCGATTTAACAGGATCCAACAGCAAAACTAGTTTAGTCACGGGGTGTGACGAGAACGGAGGATTTCAACAATCTGAGCTAAAGATAGCCGACTCCTATGAATAGAAGCAGAACAGGTTTGCGCTAATAATAGCCGGCTTTAACGTAACCGGTAAGTCGTCAGCTGCCCGGTCCCGACCACCACGGAATTTTAGGGGCGCAGCTGACATTTTTCCCGCCCAGTCTGCCGCCTACAGTCTACCGCCGCTTACAGTCGTTTACAATAGTCCCTCGCAAAATGTCCAGAAACGAGCACCGAGCTGCACGGTGGCAAATAATCAGACCGCTCCTGCCTTTACTCAACGGGAGCATGACTGACACCACGGCGTCAGACCACTGCACGCTCTGTGTACTCGGAGGGCGGTGGCTGACAGTGCACGCTGAACATATAGGTACAGAGCTCGCACACGAGGACGAGCAACTGTGGGAACAGGTTGAACAAGTTTCCACAAGGTGAACGACCTACATCGAACGGTACTGATATATGTGAAGACCTCCTCGAGGTAGGTACTTATCTGTAGACGGGCCGAGTGTTGTATTTCATTGCGCTGACGGTTCTTGAGTGAAGCTTTGAGAGAGCGTTGAACGTGCCAGAAGCACATGAGATAAAACGCTACCGTTCTTCATCTCAGGTGAGTTTATGCAGCGTCACCAATACGGCAGTAAGCACAATTCAGGTGTCTATGGCGCAAGACATTATGCGGTAACGACATTCATAGATCATACGTGTTTCTCAAATCTCTAGAAAACGTAATCAATCAATTCATGGCTTATCATGTCCTGATCCAGTCCAGTCTGCCCATATCATCATTCTCGCAACTGAATAATTGGCCTAGATTATAACCGCGCGCCATATTGGTAAAAGTGCCTCACCTTTCCATAATAATGTTTCGCCAGCAGGATGAACCTCCTACACCACACCCTTCTTTGGAAGAGTAAGCCTACCTCAACATTACACACTCAGTTCCTAGCTTACTTCAGTGCAAATACAATTACATACCCTAGCACACCATATCGCATTCCTAACTCTGCTGGCCACTGGGTGACAAACACATTTGACATAATCCACACGCACACACTCACACAATATGATAACCTACAGTTCACCAACCGGTCTTGTGAGTTGTAAGTAACAAGAACGGCATATCAGCTCACTTTGTAACACCAATAGCGGGCAGTGTGAAAACGTCAATGTTCGTACAGAAACGTCGTCAATGTTCGTTTCGTCGTCGAACCCGGCCGCCTCGTCACACACTGTTGGTTGATGTATGAGACAATCGTTCCGCTCACTCTGTTGTGCCAAGAGCGAGCCGAGCAGTAGCACGAAGAAAAGTCGCACAGATGCGTCCATTCGGCCAGCAAGCTCTGCCAGTTGTCTCGTCGAATGTCGTCGAAGGTCTTACGCTGACAGCTGATGCCGGCCGAAACCCGCTAGGCGCGCCACGGTCCGGGAAGTGCGCCGGCAGCGGTGTGGCTGGCTGGCAGACGGGCCGCCCGCGGTGTGACACGGGAACGTGAGGGAGAGCAGCTACCCTCTGGCTCCAGTCTTGCATAGGCGATAATTGCGCCATGCAGTTGCTGTGCGCTCCGATCGAAGCGCCATGCGCGCCTCGGCGCGACTGTCCGAGTACTTGTGGCCGCCGCTCAGCCCTCTGACACCTTGGCCAGACGGTTGTGATGAACCGTCAGCGCTCTGCGTGCTCCCTCCAGCCGCACGCGGTAGTTCAATGGCCCCAGCTTCTCCAAGATGACCGCGCGCCGGTATGGTCGCAGAAATTTGTAGTATTGCCCTCTGGGTACCACCGCACGATGAAGCAGCACTTGCTCACCAACGTCATACTCAAACTCATTTAGCTTTTGGTCATAAGCGCGCTTATTTGTACTGTGACGGGTGTTGGAGCGGCGACGAGCGATCGCATGAAACTGACGTAGAGACTCGCGAAGTCGATCGAAATATTCGATGGTGCTATTCACCCTAACCTTGCTCGCTGGCAGCTCCAGCTCGATCTCTGCCGGCAGCCTGGGCTCCCTCGCCAGCAGCAGCTTGAACGGCGAGAAACCGGTGGTTTTGCTCGCCTGGGCACGGTACGCTAACATAAGCAGCGGGATATGCTCGTCCCAGCGGTTATGAGCGTCATCGTCAAGCGCCTTAGCCAGCATCGAGATAACCGTCCTATTCGTCCTCTCTACGATACCGTTACCACTGGGATGGGCGCTGGATATCGTTGATCGTTCTATCCC